TCAATCAATCTGTTCATAGCTGATAGAATTGATCAACCGTCTGAGATACCCTATGATAAACCTTTCAGTAGTTGATGGAGGTGATAAACGCCTTCAACTGACTTTACGAAAGGTAATATTTGGGTATCGGAATTTCATATACCCGTTGATAAACGGATATGTATGTTGAAAATAATTGGTTTTGCAGTCTGATCTATCCCTAGAAAGCGTTTATCAAAGTCCAACGTATGAAATACCCTTTAAGGGTTTTCTAAGCGTATAAACGCTTTGATAAACCTTTCCCTAGCGGGTATTTTAAGTGAATAAACCATTTTTTTTTACTGCTTTGATGGGTAGATGAAAGGGTTTAACACATTCTGATAAATGGTGAAAAAGGCTATTTCATACGTTGCACTCTGATAAACCTCTTAAGCGTTTATCATTCAACGGATTTTTTTGCAGTGCACGAACATACGAACAGACACACGAAAAGACACACGAACGAACGAAGGTTACTCACTCTGCGTAATACCCTCCTTTCAGTAGAGGGAATTATGATCGATGTTTCTTTAGAAACTTAACATTCTGTGTCGATCGTACTAATATTATAAATATATTCAAGAAATTTGATAAATGGAACGAAGGGAGAGGTAGTAATTCGAAATGAAATAGTTTCGTTGGGATAAAGTTTTAGAGCGTATGCTTTAACTCAAACGATAGAATTAGTTGTAGTCTATCCATTTATTTGATATCTTTTGAGAATAAACTTTTCCACCCATTTTTGAGAATATAATATAAATTTCTAGCAGTCTGTGTCTCATGAGTACTACAATTCGGCTTCACAGCGGCTACACTGATAAGTTTTTGTAACTAAAAACGTACTCTGAGAGAACTGAAGCGATTTTGAAAATTGGAGACAGGATTTTCACAATTTTCGAATCTTAAATATAGATTTGAACTCATCAATTTGAAAATTGTCAGCTGAAAACCCCAAGAATAGACACGTTTCGGGGTAAAAAACTAATGAAAATCTTCAGTTCTCAAAAAGAAAAAGTCTGAAATCAAGATATCCTACGTACCAAGAAATATTTGAATAAATAATTTTATCATGTCATAAATAGTTCTAGCGCACACCTTGAATCAAATTGGTCCATTCTTTTGTACACAGATAAATCGTTCTCTAAAAAAAAGTTCTCAGATAATTTCAGTACGAAATCAAAAGATGAATTTTCTCTATTACATGTTGTTGATTGTATCGATCTTATTCATCATAGATGATATCATTTTAATGTACTTTAATATATGCATGATAATCAAATACTATAGATTACTTTCGTAATTGTGTGATCATAATGAAGAGCTGAATGAAAATGAGACGTCACTGGTTCTCACAAAGAAAAAGAATTTATGAAAATATAAATCGATTACTAAAATTGTCATGAAAGTTTTTTTTAATTTTTTGATAAAACAGTTACTAATGTATTTTGTAATTATGCCTTGCAAGAGGCTGCTACTCATAGAAACATAAACAAGAGAACGTTAACAACAGTATAATCAGCCACCTTTGGCAAAGTCGTTGTTACATTCTTCATGCTTGAATGTAAACAAAAAAAATGTGCATTAAGAAATAGGAGAGAAAAAGCTGTTGTTAAGCAATATTCTTGTTGGAATAAAAGGTCATTTTTCATTGAAGAATATTTCGTCATTTTTTCAGATTTAACTTTGGTAAATACCTAAGTCAAAATCATGGGCTGTGGTTCTTCAACAAATACAGTAAGTCCTGCGAAGGATTCTAGTTTAAGTCATACTGATATAAAAATACATGCTCATCGCCATCAAAAAACACTTGAAAACATAGAACAAAAGGAACAACATGCACAAATAGAGGATATTGTACAGAATTTCTTCCTAGTTTGGCTTGATAATCATTTGGACGAGTCCAAGGAAGATTTTCATAATTCGTTTACGAAATTACAACGAACCATCGATGTCATAGAAAAATTTCGTGATGCCAACGAATGCATCACGCATATTTCAAGGAGCGAAAATAAGAAAATTTTTCTGGTCGTATCTGGTAAACTAACCAACGATGTTGTACCATTGATGCATGACAAGTCCCAAATTTATGCAATTTATATATTTTGTTTCGATAAATCAAAATATGAACAATGGACAACAGAAAAATGGCCCAAAGTACGCGGTATATTTGCAAATATTGACTCGATTTGTGACTCACTTCGGCAAACAGCACGAGAATGTGATGATGATGATATGAAAATTACTGGTCAAATTGAACCATCATTTATGTATTCAATGTTATTTAAAGAAATTGTTCTTGAAATCCATTTCGATCTGGAGAAAGAAATTCCAGGTCTTGCCAAATATGCTCGTCAGGTGTACAAGGATAAACCAGAACAACTCCCAATCATCGATGAATTTGTCCAGCAATATAATGGTAACATCAACAACAGTCCTGTTCGCTGGTATACAGCCGAGTGCTTCACATACAAAATGTTAAACAAAGCACTAGGTCGATTGGATGCTGCTACTCTACTTAAAACAGGTTTCTTCATGCGCGACCTCCATCAAAATATCGAAGAACTTCATGAAAAACAAATAAATGATAATAATGCACCATTTCCAAAAACAGTTTACCGCGGTAAAATTATGACACAAGAAGACTTTAAGAACAAAATTCAACAAGGCAAGCTCATCTCATACAATAATTTTTTATCAACTACTGAAAAAAGAGATGTTGCCATTGATTTCATTGGCCGAGAATTTCAACCAAGCGACAGTAAAATTGCCGTCCTCTTCATCATGACTATTGATCCGTCGGTAAAATCAGCTCCATATGCACGGATTTCTGAATTCAGCAAATATCCAGAAGAACAAGAAATTCTCTTTTCAACACACTCAGTATTTCGGGTCCGACAGATTCAAGAAACAAAAGAGCGTGGCATGAATATACAGCAAGTCAACTTGACGCTCACCAGTGAAAAAAATGATAATGAGCTTAGTGAATTAACAGAAAGTATACGGAAGGACATTGAAGGAAATGGATGGGAACGAATGGGTTTGTTGCTTTGGAAAATAAACCAGAACGATAAGGCTGAAGAAATCTACACGCTGTTGTTACAACAGGCAACTAGTGATGGAGACAAAGCATATTGCTATAACCAACTTGGATTGATCAAGAGAGACCAAGGAGATTACAAACAAGCGCTGGACTTCTACGAGAAATCCATTAAAATCAAGCAAACAATTCTACCGGATGATGATCCCAATTTGGCCATGTCATACAACAACATCGCTCTAGTGTATAAGAACATGGGTGACTACTCAAAAGCACTTGAATTTTACGAAAAAGATCTCGAAATCACGAAAAAAGCTCTGCCTCCGAATCATCCCCATTTGGCTACTTCCTACAACAACATCGGTGGAGTGCATAAGAACATAGGTGACTACTCGAAAGCACTTGAATTTTACGAAAAAGCACTTAAAATTAGAGAAAAATCTCTGCCTTCGAATCATCCTGATTTGGGTACTTCCTACAACAACATTGGTCAAGTGTGTAACAACATGGGTGACTACTCCATAGCACTTGAATTTTACGAAAAAGCACTTAAAATTAAAGAAAAAGCTCTACCTCCAAATCATCCCTCATTGGCTGGTAGCCACTTGAATTTTGCAGTATGTTACGAAAGAATGGGAGATTACGCATCAGCTCTTAAGGCTCTTCAAAATGCTTTGCAAATTCAGCAAAAAGCATTTCAAGAATGTAATCCAGCTTTTACTTCAACATACAGTTGGTTCGGAAGAGTTTATCGCAGTATGAAAGATTACTCAAAGGCACTGGGTTATTTTGAAAAGTGTCTCGCAATAGATCTAAAGACGTTAGCTGAAGGACATCCCTATCAGGCCATTACATATAGTAATATTGGTGATGTTTATCGATTAATGGGTAACTATGAAAAGGCACTTGCATTTCATCAAAAAGCATTAGATATTCAAGAAAATGTTCACTGTAATCCTCTTCAATGTGCAGCGACATATACAAATTTAGGTGAAACTTATCGAAAAATGCAAGATTATTCAACAGCATTGTCATATTTTCAAAAAGGATTAGAAATACGAGAAAAGAAACTACCAAAAAGTCATCCTGATTTAGCTGTAATTTATCATAATATGGCAAAATTATATTTATCTACTGGGCAATATAATATGGCAATGAAAAATGTTCAACAAGCAATAGAAATAGCTCAAGAAAAATTACATTCAACCCATCCTCATCTTTTGGAATATAAAGAAACATTTGAAAAAATTCGAAAGGAAATGTAATTTATTTATTTTTCTGCATTGCTCAATAAATTGATTTAAATTGCTATTCAACTTTTTTCTTCTGGTTGTTCTCTAGTAATTTTGGCTTACACGTGCACGCGACAAGGGATAGATCCCTTGTCAATGCCATAGGTACCACAGAGGGGACTACGCCGGACTGATAGGGCAATGGCCGAAAGTATGCCGTATGAACGGTAGGGACCAACGACACATAGAGGCCTCCCAGAGTACTACACTGCTTCGCTATAACATGAAAGTTCCTCTCCCTATTAAGTCCGACAACGTAGCTATCTGACCTACAGTGATAACATTGAAAACTAAACTCATCTCATCTCAAAAGTACTCATACTCATAATAACTGACAGTATTTATTTTTTCTTGAATAATTATTCTCAACTCAACTCAATGTATCACTGACTATGCAAATACATACTTATGCATAGATTTTAGAAATTAATTCCATCCGGAATTTATTTTAAGACTCAATCTCACATATATTCATACATGCTTCTGCATATATGAGATAATCTCAACTTAACACACAACTTTAACCCAAAAAAAAATTTTTTTTCCTACCTCTCAATGTTGTATTGTATCGTAGCTCATCTACAAAAAAAAGAAAAAAAGTGTTGTTAAATATATAAAGACAAGTAATTTACCTTATTTAAAATATAATGATATCATTATCATTGTAAATAATATAATAAGGGTGTGGGTGTGAATGTGAGTGCGGGTGTGGCTGTGGCTGTGGGTGCGGGTGTGGGTACGGGTGTGGATGTGGGTGTGTTCTTCCAGCACCCAACCGCACCTCCCGCCCACACCCACACCCATATCCCATACCCACACTTACACCCACACTCACATCCACACTCACATTCATAACCACACTCACACCACCCAAACTCACACCACCCACACCCACACCACCCACACCACCCACATCCATACCACCCACACCCACACCCAAACCCCACACCCACATCCGTATTAATTTTCAATACAACAATATGATATTTGTTCACAAATCATCGATAACAAAATTTTTAAACATGTTTCAAGTTTTAGAGCTAACTCTTGCTTTTTTGAATTCAAATTATTTTTCTAAAAGAAATCGAAATATCTTATAGTACAAAAATTTTTTCTTTGCAACTTTCAAATTAAATACGACGTGGGTGTGGATACGAATGTCAGGAAGGGTAAGGAGAAGAACCACACCCACACCCAAAAAATATTTATCTCGCGATAGTAGAAATTTCAAATCTGATTGTTCATTGAAACAATGGACGTTATTAGGCCGTTATTAACATCGTCGATGGTATTTCTGCATCTTTTGATTTCTATAAAACAATGAAGATTATGTGATTAGAAGAATTATCATGGCAACAGTACCTCCTGTACGACAGCAACTTCGTCGTAAACAACACTTTTGAATCGCTTTTGCTGTTGTTTTGACCAACAACAAGATCTGCGCAAGTCGCTTCTTCGGATAATTAATAGAGAATCGATTTCATGCTGTTTCAAGGGATTGCTGAGATAGGATACTATAATTCCAACAATCAGTACCACACTAACAGCAATAACTGTATACCACATATAACTCACTGAATAAAGACTAAGGAGTGGATTATGTCTGAAAATAAGACAAAAATCATTTGATAGTTCACAAATAAAACTGAGATCCGGATAAAGTCTTTAAATGTAATGAGAATCTTTGATGCTCTTTTGTCATTCACATAAAAAAATTAAAGACAGTCAGATTGGCAGAAAAGTATCTGGACTCATTTTGTATTCGACAGCTGAAGTAGACAGTGTCTAATATATGTTACAAAAGTTGTTAGTGCAATCCTTGCCGGATTGAAATATGAAACACGATATACCCAGTATAAATAATCACATGAAAACTGTTTATACAATAGATTTTTTGTTGATTTTGTGAGACAGACTGATATAGCTGTGAGAAAAAAAGTTTATATAGTATGGAGTCGTTTTGGGAATTAGACTAGTTGTTAACAGATGCTAGAAAATAAATGCAGATATAAAGGAGAATTAGTATTATAATTGACCTAAACAATACAAGTAACGCGTCGGCCATTCGGCCTCGCTTGACTCAATCCTGAAGGCAGCGAATAGAGACAATAACATAATACTCTCAAAAACAAAATTATGTTCTAGATCGAGTGATATTTTTTGGATTATTGTTATCGTAGTCAGCCACTCGAGGAAAACATCAAATTATTCCACCGAAACTTCCTGTAAAAGCGCGTTTCATTTGAATGTACCAAAGCAGCTTCTTGTTGGTCGTCGGCACCCCTTCGGGGCGCCACTCCCGACTCGTCGCTCTTATTTCGTTCCTGTCCGTTTCTATGAATGACATCTTATAGGAAACTACTAAGGTCCTCGCTTCAAACTTTGAGAACAACGCAATCTAAAAGTTTGACACCACTTTTCGATTTTCTTTAGGAGCTAGTCTAGAACAATATAGACGCTTATAAAAAGATCTTACAAAAAAAATCTATTGGCGTCAACTAGACTGCACTTGTTCCAGTTCTTGATCTCAAATCAGTCGAGAGTGGCACTAACAATGAGATTGATATTGGTCACAATGAGTCTAGATGAAGTTTCAAGATAATTACATTAACGGCTAATTATAACGGGACGTTAAAATCAAATACCATATCGCACAAAACGTAACCAACAGCTATCAATAAAATGCGCTTCAGAGCCGCGACTCATTTGCCAACGTTTCGATCACTAGCGTCTTATCTTCACTCCCAAACATACTACACTTTTGAGGTACTCAAAAATACTATGTTCATGCTCGCTACTGGAATGCCTGGTCATAGTATAAGGGTACCATCGGGTAAACATCTGACTCATTTTGATTTATGCAACTTTATTTCAAAATAAACCTGTGATGACAATTCCGACTCATACAATGTTTTCTATTTTTCTTTTCGATCGAAAATGTTTATTAGTTCCTGATCTACTGAACAATCACAGGGATGATACCAATTCTATGCATTTTGTTTTGAATACCTTCAATGAGAGAATGAAATACTACCTGGATCTTCCTACATAAATGTCTCTCACCCGAAGCAATGAAAGCAGCCGCTCGTCGGTCGTCGGTGTCCCTTCTGGGCCCCACTCCCGACTCACCACGTCTGTCTACCCTCTTTCCATTTTCTTGCATACCATTCACGTAAGCACTTTATGAAATAGCTTGCATCGAATTCAGGCCAAGAGATAGTATTTGAACTTTAAACACAATGTGTCTGCTTCCATTTAAAAATCGCTCTGCAGACATAGGAACCCTAGATACAACAAAAGTTTTGCGTTGATTTTTTATATTCGACCACCTGTGATCAAGTCTCATTCTACAAAATATAGATTTTGATGATTGAACACCTGTCACAGTGCCCTATTTCCCAAATCGATCAGTTTCCATTTCTTGAGCGTATACTGCTTTCTGAATAATTGGATATACAAACAAACATACAACCAATTTAATGCGGACGATTCTCTCTTAAAGAAAATTGATAATGAAAATAGAGATTCTCAATGACTGAAGAAAAGCCAAGAAGAAATATCATAGTTCAGAAAAATGTGAGAAAACATTTAATTCGTAGAAGAAAATCGAGAATAAATCTTCTTGGTCAAAAACTATATGAGAAAGAATCTGATTGGTTGTACCTGCTCTATTATGTACAAAGAATCCAACTCTGAAAATGGTGTTTAAATCCATACAGACAGCAAATTCAATTCAAACTTCCCTTTCCTGAACACCTTTGGTCGACATTTCTTTTTAAAACTTAGTTTCTATTGATCCCAAGCCTACAAATTGAGTGTGAAGGCCAATGGAGTTCAGATTCGAATTCCCCACCCCGAATTACATCAAGGCAGCTGTTCTTCTAAAAATTCGATTTCTATTGGTCCCTGACCGACCAATAGGGTTATATGAAAAATGCAGCCCAGATTCGAACTCCCCATCTCGAATTACCTATAGGGAGCCATTTTTCGAAAATCTCGATTTCTATTGGGTCCTGGTCAACCAATCAGACACCGGACAAACACACGAATTTCCGTTTTCTATATTCATCCTTTCAGGATTGAGAATAACATAAAGGTTTTGATTTCTTTTTAATTTTGAAAATGGTTTATGTCTTTTTTTACAACGAAATATAAAAACAAGACAGAAAATGAACAGCATATTTTGTGCAATTTTATTCTGTTTTTGTTGTTAGGATAGATGTAACAATGTTATTCAATACCTACGTTGAATACTTATGCATATAAGAGGCCATAAGTCACGGCATATTTGCGTATGGTACGATTTGAGGTGTCTATTACGGCCTATTATGGTCTTTGCGGGTTGTTTGTCACGCTCAGCGATTTTCACTTTATTAATTAGATAGTAATTAGTTAGTTAATTATTTAATTAATTAAAATGGATGTCACAGTCAGTGGGTAGGGGCCGGGAAGTGGGCACAAAGTTCTACCCTATTTATTTCAATGCTACTTTCAGATCGTGTTTCACACTAACATATTAGCTAGAGAAAAAGTCATCAGCTGGAGAAAGAATGAAAGGAATAAATCAAAATTCGGCAAGTCATCAACATAATCTAAATTAGGTCAATGGACAGTGTAATCCAACGTTCACTTACTTTATGCGTGTGGCTGCTGTTGTCGCACTCGTGATTATAACTGCTGATAGATTATAATTTGTACAATTGGCTACTGATAATGGTAATCGACCACTGCTCCTTTGATTTTTCGTTAATTGGGCACCAAAAAAGATCCATAGTTGCAATGCTAAACCTGCGAAAAATCCAGCCAGCGCTCCTTGTCGATTGGCTCGTGGGAAGAAAAATCCGAGAAAAAATACACCCATGATGGGACCACAAAGGGTACTACACAATGATATCGCTGCATTGATCACCGGGCCTAAAAAGCTAACGGCATAAGTAAGAAACATCACCACTACGGCCACAATGACTGAAACT